TTATGGTTTTAAATTTTAGTTTTTTTCTTATAAATTTTAGTTTTTTTGACTATAATGGAATTAATTTTAAACTCAACCAAATAAAATTTATCCGAATGGAGTTGCCAATCGGCTAGGAAACAAACGCTATTAACAAAACAACTTGGCGATGTGCAAATCCGCCAATTTGTACAAGCGTAGACACTTTGAAAGATTTTATCAAAACAAGTGAATAAATTCTTTATTTTAATGTAGTATTACAAACCTAATAATTATTAAACAAAGTAATTTTATTAAACAAGTGTCGATCACTTTGTTTCCCTTCATTTACAATCTCTTTGACATATTCTTTCCAAAGCTGAACAGCCGCAACGTGAAATATTTGTCCGCGACACGTTTCATTAAATTTGTTCTGTGGTCGTCAACTAGAGTTTCGTTGTCATCATCTTCATGGTATGTGAACAGCTCAGATGTTAGATGTTGAGTCCAATGTGAAATGTTGGAAGACGTTCACAATCATTTTTTTCTTCAGGTTTCCCTGATTGCTTATTTGTTTGCCGTCTTTACCCGTAACAGTAGCTTTGAAAACGTGCTTGCAGTATTCGACCGTTCGAAACACAGATGTTGATGGGATCTGCAAACCACCCTTATTGACAAATGTGGTAAATGACGATGCCTTTCCTGCTTCATGATATATGGTTGAAGTATAGTCGTGTCCGTTTGCAGGCAATTGTTTTGGCAGAGGAAGAAGGCTCTTTTTGCATGCTGGACAAACTAGGGTTTTTATAAGTTTGGCAACAATGTATCCTGCGATGTAAAACAGAACATTCTAAGTAAATCACTTTGCCCTTCTTTGTTTAAATGTTCACACATAGAAAATATTACATATTTTAATGGATCTAAGGGCTTTTTTGACCTCTTCGGGTGTGATTGTGTACTCTTCCGGTACTTGACTTACTGGGACTGGAATATACGTTAACGGTGGGATCTCATCTGCGATGTTACAGAAAGAGTTGTTAATTGCCTCTGCCAAATCCGTGCCTTTAAGAAGGGAACCATTCAAGGACATACTTGAGAAGGCAGCCGGCTTAGCAAAGCCAGACATTTGCTTCACCATTTCTTCGAATTGGATTCTTTATAATTGCTTACACAATTTTGGTAATACCAGCCTCTTGCTGCTTTACAAAGCTTCATAACTTTGTTACGTAAAAAATTGTATTTATCAACATCACCACTAGCCCATGCCTGTTGGCGTTTGATAATGGCTTTCTTAATGTCAGGCGTCATCCAAGGTTTGTCAATAGAGTGGAGTTTAATTTCTCGCAACGGGAGGTATGTGTTAATTGCTTTGGTGAGCAGGGCTTGGAATGTTTCAAATTGGTCTTCGCATGATATTTGATCGAAAGGTTCTGGCCTGTCGAAATTTTGGAGAAACAAGAATAAGGATTGTTTGTTTTTAAAATGACAATCACGTTTAAAATAATGAATGGATTGTTGACTGGTAACACATGTAAAATCATTTGGTTGTAATAGTAGGACGCACAAGTGGTCAGATGAACCAATTGGTGGAAACACTTCCGCCTCTCCATAATAATGTGATAGAGTTGTAAAAGCCTGGTCTAGAATATTGTTCCCACGTGTAGGTGGATATACAAGGCGCTTTAGCTTGAAACTTGAACACAAACTTCCCGGTTTAAATTGATTACAATCGCCAAGGAGCATAATAGCCGAGTTTGGGTGGGTAGCTAGGGCTGTGTCAAAACAGTGAAATAAACGAGTTTTAAGATCCTTATTTTCTATTTTGAGGCAGATGATAAACAAGGCCGAGAATAATGGAGTTGATTCCTCTCGGTAAACAGTCAGGTCTAAGAAGAAACCACTGAGACTCAATATCAGGGTCGTTCAGTTCGTGTAGTTTGATAAAGTTAATGTTGGAATTTATAAAAGTACATAAACCTCCCCACGATTGACATTTGGTCTGTCTCTACGAACAGTCGTAAAACCAGCGATGTTTATAAGACCGTCACTTACTTGCGACGACAACCAGGATTCAGTTATAACCGTGATGTCAGAGCCATTAGTCTCCATTACCCCACAAAGATCATCAAATTTGTTAATCATAGACCGCATGTTACTCATCAGTACTTTTGGAAACGAATACTTTTTAGATTTAGCTGGTTTGCTTGAGATAGTTAAGCCATGATGGAAAGGTGTTTGTAACGACGATACAGGTGATTGCACACAGCTCAAAGAACTTGGGTGAATATTCAATAAGTTGTTAAAGTTTGCTTTGACGGCTGTAGATTTTGTGGTCTAACGCCGGCGAAAGTCTACCACTGGGATTGAAAATTGTTTAGCGTGTTTTGACACTCCTCCAATAGTCCCGGCATAGTGGGTTTAAAAGACCAAGGTTTCGTAAAACATCCCAAGTCAGGGAAGAAACAGGTTTGATTGTTATACGTTGCTGACGTTGAGCTTCAATACGGATGGGTGATTTCCACCAAAATTTCTATGCTAACGTCTTGAGTACTTTGCCATCATTTAACGTGTAAAATAGTAGTTCAACAAAAGTGAAACACCTGCACGTTTAGAATTTATAATTTAAACTAAACTAAGAAGTATAAAGTGATCAATGTTCACGAGCTAGAAATCGTGTGCAGCCTTTCAGTGCATAAACAGTGTAATGCATAAAACAGCGCATAAACAGATTCTTACAATTGTGCTCTATCAAATGAGAGTGATGAAGATTAACTTTGGGTAAGTGTTGCATTAATAAGTTTGTGTTACCTTCTGTCAGTTCTACGCACATAGAGATAACAATGTAGTTTTGGATGAATTTGGCGAGAATGGACCAGTTGGTTCCATGATTGCTTTAGTGTTTTAAATGAGCTTGCATTATTTCTCTCATGTTATTTTATACAAGAATCGCAGTCTTTTCCGTGTCAATCGCTATGTATTGTAAAAGGTCGAAATTTAATTGTACATCATGGAAATACTGCATGTCTGGACAACAGGAACTCTTCTTTTTCAGAATCGGTAAATATCAAAATGTGCAAATTTAGATCCAATACAGGCTTAATTAATGAAAAATATTTTAGATCTAAGATATACTTAATGAAACTTTCTTGTAGCCACTTTTTTGTGCCACAACATGGGGACTACACCCATGATCTGATGAATTGCTTGACATGTTTCGATGACAATGTGTGAAATGGCTGTGCTACTGAAACGAAAACTGTATTCAAGAAATTTAAATGTTTTGCCAGTTGCTAAAAATCGTAAGGTCACAGGCCATTCTTTTGTCCGGCCCAATGCTCTCCTGCATAACTGTACTTTGTTTTTGGATACGGTATGATACCTGGTCCACAACAAACCAGAAATGCTGTGAATTCATTCTGAACAAATTTTGATAAGAAACGTCCTCTAGCTCTTTTACAAGATCAACATGCGGACTACACCCATGAAAGCGCTTGAATACAAAGAGTATTTTACACTTATAGTTGTTCACAAATGATGAAAAGTTCAAGAGATATTCAAGATTTTCTCGATATGAACTTCAGAATTTTGGCTAAGCGATGAGTAAATATATGATTGTTTCGGTTTGTGTAATGTTTTGACGGCACTTGACCCCCCGTTTGAACGGTTATTTTGTGAGGATTTCAATGGTGGTTTTTGTTTAAAAGGGGAATAAATACTCGCCGAGATATTTACAATAGAAAAATTAGGTCGTAATCTAATACGAAACCGTACTGTCGTCAAGGAGTTTTAATTACTTAATTGATATCGATTGACAGTTGGGTCAATCGATGACCAATCGATAGTTACAAAAAGTTATAGCCAATTTTATCGATTACTATCGATATTTATCGATTTTTATCGACAAAATGGTTTCGATTCAGTTTATCGATTTATATCCTAAATAATTGCCGTGTGTCGGCGTGTTCGAGCTAAATGGTACTTCTGTTCTCATTTTTCGAATGTACACATGTTTCTGATCTGTATTATAGCTAGATGAAAACTTATTTTAATCCATTGTTACTGAACTCTGTTCAGAATTGAGTTTGTCACAACATTAAAGTGTGTATTAATTAAATTATGGCGTTACCTGATTGATTACATGCAAATTAACAGAGGATTTTTTCATCAATGAAAATTAATAATAAATCGATGAAAGTCACAGCAAAAGAAGCCATCGATCAAGCATCGATTTCCAACAACCATCAATTGATAAATATCGATTGGTATTAATTAATATTGATGCTCATCGATTATCGATTTCATCGATAAAGTACGCCGGGTATTTATATATTGTGAAAGCCTTATATCAAAATACTCGATTTTTATATACTCAAACTGAAACAGAGCCATTGTGCTTGCACTGATTATGTTGTGTGCAAAGCTTCAAAACTACAGCACATTTTGTAAATAACATGATATATGAATATCAAACAAAATTTGAAAAATAAATGGCAGTACATACTATTGAAATTTAATACAACAAAATAGCAACCATTGTGATTCGAGATAGTGTTAGAGAAAAGCGACAAAAATGTTCGGGTTGTTGGTTGATCATAATGTACTTTTTCAGGTTTTAGGCTTCTGGGACATTTACATAAAACCATTAAATCATGACAAAAAGCTCTTAGACAATGTTTCGTATTGAAGCAATCCTATATAGTTGTTTACTAAATGATAACGTTATTTTTACACACTTTATTCAAACTGCGATTCAATATAAAACACGGTTTGGAGCTTTTTTACGACCCGCGACTTTTTACATGCAACATTTTAACCACGACACACAACTTTTTACCCGCGACCGTTAGTCAAACTCGCATAACTCCTAAACTTTAGTATTGTTGACAGATATTGTTGACAGATATTGTTGACTTCAGTATTGTTTACAGATATTGTTGACAGATATTTTTCAGCTGAAGTGTTATTTTCCTTTTTCCTCCAGAAAGTACAAGTGAACAAGCTGGACTCAACAAACTCGTTACCAATAAACCAAATTCGCCTCTATGGCCAGCAAAGGCAGAAAATTGCGACTTGCTTCGTCTTTGAACGTGGCGGTTTTAGAGCAACTGTCTATGAAACTTAACCCGTCCATGATTATGAAGGACTACCGGTCTCTAGCGGGCCGTCTTAAATATACCACTGAATACATACAAAATTTTGCACTCGAGAGAAACCCTACATTGGCTTTACTTCAGAATTGGTGGTCTTCAAACCCGGAGACAAAGACAGTTGCTGTCTTACTAAATCTTTTATATTGTATGGAAAGGGATGATTGTGTTGACTTGTTGCGGCCTTATGAATTCTATGGTAAGTAAAGCTTCTTTGTAGTGTTCTGAAATGGGTTTCAATATACTTTTTAAATTTAGCCACCTATATTTGTTTTAGATCAATGTTATTCGAACGTTATTCACTGTACACATGGCATCTAAAGACGTTGCAAAACTGGCCTATATTTGAAATTAACATGTGTGGCCTAGGACGTGTCATATTGCAATAAATGCACGTGTATGTTTGTTTACTGAAAGCTTACTACATTGTATAGCAAGCAGCGCTTAGAAACCTTTGTGTCAGTATTTCAAAGAAAAATTCCGGCATAGCGGTCAGCTGGAACAGCGATTTCTCCTTCACACCCGAAAATCCAGCAAAAGGAGGCGCAAGCTGTTTCCGAAGATACTTTTCCGACTGTCCCGAAGTTTATCTTGCATTGTGCGTGATTAGCGTAATAATAGACCACTTCCACTTTGGCGGTTTTGTGTTAAGTAGAAACTCATGCTCGCGAAATCGGAAACTCGGACACAAATGTTTTGGTCATTTAGTAGATAAATTCGCTCGCTTTCATCACAAAACAATAGTCAAAATGGAAAATATGTCAGAAGAAGAGAAATTCAAAGCCGTGAAGCTGCCGGAGCTCAAAGCGCACCTACAAAATCGAGGAATTACCGTTAACAGTTTACCTAGTCAAACCCGGACTCGTAGCTATTGCTTGTGTCGTCGAAGAAATGAGTTTTCCATTGCTTTTTCAAGACATTGAAGCCCAAGACCATTTAAATCTAAGCTGTCGTTTGAAAGTTCACGACATTCAGCTGCCCAATCTTTTTAAAATGAATGTTTTAAACAATTTTAAGCAGTCTCGCTTTGTTTGATAAATTTAATAATCATCTCGTATATCACTCGTCTGAATATGACAAGCAAAGTCTGGCAGCTTATAAATATATTTTACGTATCGTTCGCATTTTAATGTTG